GGAAAGAAAGAGCCAATTAATAAATTACATTTTGTTTAACAAATATGACATCAAGGAGTACATACTGAATATTATAAAAAATGTATACCTGGCCTTCTTATAGCAAAAACATGATAGACTAGCATAAAAAGTACAGCAAATACTATGAGTGGAAACAGGGACTAAGGGTGATGGCAAAGCAGATACTAGCAATGGGAGGAGGAAGAAATGAAAACAGTAAGTAACAAGAGGTAATTAATAATAAATTTCCACTCACACTCACTGCCTGCTTGCCTGTCCCCAAATTAATGACAGCTATCGTTCTTTCAAATGACCTAAAAGGTTCCAAGAAACCTTCCTGATGACTCCTTCCTTGTTTAAACATACTTTTCATGACAGGGTACATCAGTTAGTAAACAGCCCCATAAGCTGGCACCCTTTAACCCTTCGTTTACGATTCTATTCCAGGGGTCATTTCCTGCAGGAGCGCACAGGAGCAGAGCTCCGGCAGTAAAGAGCCCAGGGGGTGGGCACATGCAACAAGCCCCACCCCCTGCTCCCAGCAGCCCTCAGTCAGAGCAAGAAGCAGTCAGGTAAGTTGCAGAGCCCTCCCATAGATAGCAATCCAAAACAGTCCAGTGGCACCTTTAAGACCAAGTTTTATTCAGGTACAAGCCCTCCCTTCTCTGCGAGGACAGATCTACACATTTCCCCCCCCCCAATAGCTAGCAATCCAAAACAGTCCAGTGGAGCCTGAGCGGTGGGTATTGACTTCTGACACACTTCCGGTGATGTAAGGGGGTGTGGTATATGCAAATAAGTTATGCTAATGAGTTATGCTAATGAGCTCCTGTGCCTCTTTTTCTACGAAATGACCCCTGTATTTTACAATACCTAACTTACAACAGGGTTTAATTATAACACAGAAAATGCAACCCAAACAAGACAACAAAATAATGTATCACAATAAAAGGTCTTACCACTTTTAGTTTAAATGAATCATCCGTGCTGTTGTCACTGGTCTGAAATCTCATCGTTCCTGTGTAGAAGACTGAGAAGGAAACACAATCACATTAATTTTTAAAAAATGTCCTGGTATAGCAAAATAAACTCCTTGTTCTGTTTACAGCCTTTGCAGTGCCATTCTAAGCAAGTGTTACCCCCCTTATACACCAGTTGACAGATGGGCTTAGAAGGATGTAGCTCTGCTTAGGATGCCCCTGTCAGCTTCCTTGTGTGGTGCTTGTTTGATCCTCTGTTCTTTGTACATAAGCATCTCCCCACAGTGGCAGGAACCAAATATGAATTGACATTTCCCCCCATTCTTTCCTTCCTTCCAAAAAATTCAATTTAGTTGCTAAATTTAGAGTTTATTCATTTTTTGAAATAAATAAATTTCTAAAAACACAGTCACCCACAACTCACAACTCAAACCAGTTCAATGCATTATTAATAACCTACAACCCATGCTGGATAGTGACACTTCCCTTACATAGGCACGGGGGGTGGGCGGGCGATCTCTTCTTCCTTACCTACAGCCTGATAACCTAAAACAACTTCTCACCTGCAATGACAAACTATTTAGCAGCAACATAAACTCTGGTACCAAGGCCTGCAACAAACTAAGATTCCAACTTTGCTCTCATATAAATCCTAGCAACACTATCAGTGGATCCAGCAACATCAGCCATATCATCTCAGGTTCATATTCCTGCTCATCCTCTAATGTGATTTATGCCATCACGTGTCAACAATGCCCTTCCACCTTCTACATTGGATGAACAGGTGAGTTCTTTTGACAAAGAATTAATGGACATAAGTCTGACATTAGGAACCACAACATTAAAAAAACCAGTGGGAGGAACATTTTAACCTTCCAGGACATTCAGTTATTGACCTAAAAGTAGAAGTTTTCTTAAAAGGAATTTAAAAGGGAGATTAGAAAGAGAAACTGCTGAATTGCAATTGATAATGAAGCTCAAGACAATGCATCCATCTGGACTGAATCGAGACCTAGGTTTCCTGTCTCATTACCCATGCTGATTTCTCCCTGCCTGTTACCCCTCTGCATATCTCGCCTAAATCTAATCATGCCTGCTATTGTCATTCACCTGCTATTGTCATTTTCCTGCTAATGTCATTCAGCATCTGAAATCATTCTACTTTCCAATAAATAGGAAAGATGGACTCCCATTCTAGCTGTATCTGAAGAAGTAAACAGTGACTCATAAAAGCTCATATCCTGCTAAACAACATGTTATTAGTGACCTTATGTATTTAAATAAATATTGGCCTGCTATATAATTTTTTAATTCAACAGTTGCTCAAGAAATATTATTTCATCTTCAACAATCTTCCTACAAGCTACAATGAAAATAAATAAGGAAAAGGCACTAACTTGAGTCTTTACACAGGGCTGCTAAATTGCATACATTATTTTCTGGAAATTCCGTTCCTGCAAGAAAGCATTAGCTCAATTTAAACACTTATAAAGGAAGTTTGTATTTTAAAATAGTAACAATATAATATAATATAATATAATAGCATCAAATGTCAGCAATGCCCTTCCACTCTCAACATCAGACAAACAGATCAGTCCCATGCAAAAGAATAAATGGACATAAATCTGACATTAAAAAACACAACGCTCAAAAGCCAGTGGCAGAGTTGATACAACCTGAATATAATAAAAATAAGTAACACCAACGTTCAGGCTGCAAACAAAAAAGCTGACTGAATTACAAACAGAAAAAAATGTTCACAATGTAATAATTATAAGTTTAATATGGCATAAGAAAAAGAACAAAAGCCCAGGCCCACCTGAGTTATGAGACTGGGGGACTGCTGTTAAAGGTAAACTAACCCAGGGAGCTGGGCTGTATTGCAGAAAGATCTAAGCATCCCTATCCATGGACCATTTTGGTAATCTTTTTCTATCAGGAGCAGGGTTGCCTGGCTTCCACAAAAATTTTGGAGGCAGGGCAAGGGGTGGAAATTATGTCATGCAATACATCAACATCACTTCTGGGCAAAACCCCAGATGTAACATCATTATGCATTATGCAATGCTCCTGGATTTATTGTAGAATTGGGGGGGGGGGATTCTGGAGTGTTGCCTGACACCCTGATGTCATGTCTGGATTTTTGCCCGGAAGTATCATAGACTCACCACACAATGTCATCTCTGTCATCCTTGTTTCTCCCACCAGCCCTGACCCATGGATGGATGGGAGGGCCAGACAGCATGCACATAGTAAGCCTTGACTATATTTGATTCGCAGAGGAAACATCCACTGCATGGCTCCCTGTGTAACTTTTCCTCACTGGGGCAAATAACACTCATAGTTGGGGACTGAGGTTGCAAAGGGTAGAGGAGAAAGAGTAGTATACATATCCACCGTCCTGGCCATGTTGCAGCTATTTTTCTCTCGTAACTATCAATGGTTAGATGCCAGGATACAAATTATTACATGGGGCAATGCCTTCCTACTTGGAACAAAACAATGCATCCCAAAAGTTTATCATTCCCTGACTGGGCCGCCCACAGCACAGCACTATTGTTCCCACACACACACCTTTTCAGGGGGCGAAACAGCTGTGGGTGGGGGTGGCCATTTCAGCATTTGATACTGTAGGGGGAATGCCTCGATCTGCCACACTGCAGCATTTTAAAGAGACTTTTAAAAGATGGTGGCATCCTTGTGGCAGCCACTAGGACACCATCAGGTCCAGTTTGGCCCACAGTTTGAGGAATTCTGTATTTAACTACTATACTATAGATATCGTCCATTTAGACAACAGCTGTCTTGATCTAAACAGAATCAAATACTTTATATATTTGAATTTGTATAAAATTGTTTTGGCTTTTATTAAAGCCTATCTTTTATTAAAACTAAAAGCGACCAGCTACACATAGTTTATATACATATCATTTTCTGTGTAAATCCTGACCTGCAGAAAGCATAGCTTCAAATGAAGATGAATCGAAAGGAGAAAAAGCATAAAAAGTAACATGAATGGCAAAATGAAGAGGTGAAAATAATTTAAAAATAAACCCACTATGTATGATAAATATTTATGAAGTCTTGCCTGTAGCACTGTTGGGGTAGTTGAGAAAAGTGACAATGGATGAATCCGCTGTAAAAAAATAAATAATTTTAAAAATGCAAATAAAATGAGAAGTATAAGAAGTTATATACTTAGAAATGACTGGATTTTCTAAAGGGATAGCTTGCTACAATGAAAATAAAAAGGCATCTTCTGGCACTTTTACAGACTAATAAAATTTTACTCCAGCATAAGCTTTGCTGGACTAGAGTCTACTTCTTCAGATGCTATATGCAGGCACTCATTTTGCAATCATTTTTCTTGTAGGAGCTCTAAATAAAACCTGGCACAGTCAAGAAACACAAGTAAAACAGAATGAAATGTAATTATGTAAAACGCAAGGCTAATCAGGGGGTGGGGAATACAAGTTTCTAATCATGTTTAGCTAAGACCTGTAAAATGTAGGGAGTCACATGATTTTTTAAGATAGTCATACTTTTAATTTGAATCCTTTTATTCAAAGATTGCCCTGACCTGGGTGGGCCAGGCTAGCCTGATCTTGTCAGATCTTGGAAATTAAGTTGGGCAGCCCTAGTTAGTACTTAGATGGGAGACCCAGGAAGTCCAGAGGACCATACAGAGGCAGGCAATGGCAAATCACCACTGTTCATCTCTTGCCCTGAAAACCCTAAAGGGTTGCCATAAGTTGGCTGCAAATGGACCGTGTTTTCCATTCAAAGGTTCCATACTATCTCTCCCCCAGCTGAGGAAGAATTTAGGAATTTATTTAAAACTGTGACTACCTTAACAAAACTTGTGATTTCCCACCCATTACACATCTTAACTATGTTAGACAGTGAATGGTTTCTGCATTTTTCTTAACTAGATCTTAAATATTACAAAATTGCATTTCATATCTACTTCCTGCATTTCATGACTCCTTGATAGGGATCCCAAGTCCCCCTGGGGGGAGAGGCCCGTTCCCCGGCGGCACTGGATCGGGCCCCTCCCCGACGTGCGCGTCACCAGGAAGTGACGCGGGCACACCAGGCATGCTGGGGGCGGGGCCAGAGCCATACAAGGGAAAACTCTATGGTTTTCTCTTGTATGGTCATGGCCCCGCCCCCAGCGTGCCCGGCGTCATAACATCACTTCCTGGTGATGTGTGTGCGGCGCGCGCACGCCGGGATCTACCCGGGAGTCCCCTGCCAGCAAGGTAAGTGCCACTTGCCAACTCTACTCCTTGACTCTTCTGGATGTTTTCATAAAATTAATACAAAGTCATAGCATCTGAAGAAGCAGGTCTAGTCCATGAGAGCTTATGAAGGTGTACTTCTTTTTGTACGACTGGTCTAAGGACTGTAGTAATAAACTGAACTGAACTGAGAGCTTATGTTAGAATAAAAGTTTTGTTATTCTTTAAGGTGCCGCAAAACTCATTTCATTTTGAAATATTCCATCCAAGTTTCTAAAACAGCTTCTGCCAGCTACTAGTTTATCTCTGTCCAAAGAGCCACAAAACTCATTTTGTGAGCACTAAAAGCCTTTCGACGTTTTTCTCAAGTAGCAGCCTCTACTCCAAGCATCATGGCAAATCTCTTTTAAAACTGTGAAGTGTTTATAAGCAGGCTGTGATACCACACATGGATTTGCTTTTCAAAGGAAAAACAGTTCCACTGGACTACCATAAGCCCTTCTGTGCAGTTCAGGAAGAATTCCACCAAAGCAGGAACTCTACTCGTGTCTATAAAGAAAGTCTGTTGTGAGAGGATGTCAAGTAGCAGTGATTTCCCCACTACTCTTTTACTTTGTGTCCCCTCACCTGACATGCAATGGTAGCCTCATAGATCATTGATCTATGTTTTATAAACTAGAAAAAGTAACCATTGAACTCTTCCCGTAGGTCAGATAGAAAAAGCAATGACCAAAAAAAGTTGAAATTAAAACACATTTTGTAGTAGAGAAAAGAGAATATATTCTTTGGATAGAAACAGATTCATACAACTACAATAGAGCTATCAGCCTGTTTGGATTAAACTTCATAATACTGAAAAATCGAACTCTTCAGTAACATATAGGGTTATCAGGTCTTTACCTCATGCCCGTGGAGGTTGGGAGGGAGCTTTCGGGGAGGGGGGGAGGGCAATATCACCATGCACAACATCCCTGGTGTGATGACATCACGGCAGGGATGTTGTGCAGTGACACTCTGGTTTTGGGGCAAACTCTATGGTAAAATTGGTCACAAACCATAGAGTTTTGCCCAAAAACCAGAGCTTCACTGTACAACACCCAGTGTGATGATGTTACTTCCTCATGATGTCATCATGTTCGGGATGTTGTGTGGGGTCATGACTGTTGGGGTAGGGTTTCCCCTACTGGCCAGATGGCTGGGTGGCGGGCAGGAGCCCATGAAATCAGGGGATCCCCCACTCCAACCTGGGGACTGGCAACCCTAATAACATATCATCAACACATTGTAGCATATTAGTTGTTGCCAATATTATTCACATGTAAATAATAAATATAGCCTTGAAAATATGTTGTATACATTTACAATATTCATAGGAATTATCATTATCTAATGTTGTAGATGGTCTAAGATAATTTTTTGCTCCACACTTTAAGTGAGTAAGCCATATCTTAAACCATTTCAATTAGCACAAAGGGAAAAAATAACAAGAGCTTATTTGGGGGGGGGGGCATCCTGAGCCTTCAGTTCCCTCCATTGCTGCTCAGCAAGGTTATGGGAGCAATTTGACACAGCACCAATGTGCAACATCACTTTCAGTGCAGAACTGGAAAAAACGTCATGTTGGGGCAATGGTCTAACCATAGACTTTTGGGTGAATCCTAGAGCATCATGCCAATGCAATGGCATCACTTCCCATTTTGCACCAGAAGTAATGTACATTGGTGTGATGTTGAATACCTTGTCCCCACCCCCCCAATTCCCTGCCAGTCTGACAGAATTGAGCGAGTAGAATCATGTCTTTAAAGCATTTCAGTCATTCCAAATGGGAAAAAATAACATGACTTTCTTTTCAATGCTCCCCAGAATGCCACAGAAAAGTTGAAAAAGAGTCTTCAAGAAAAAATGTGCCCTCCCATTTTTCTAATTGTTTCTGGGCCTGTATCCACTGTTGTCTTTTTAAAACTTAAAATAACAACAACAAGAAGAGAGACAGCTGTTGTCTTACCTGGGGTGGTTACTGGATCTGCTTGTGATCTTGACCGGCCTTTTTTAGCATTAGCTATAGAAGGAACAATTCAATATATTTGTTAGGTTAAATGACAATTATCTTTCTTGTTTAAGGCTGCTTCTGCCTAGCAAAGATTCTCCACATTTCTATCATTGCCACTGTGAATGTAGGACCATGCATACTGGTGAATGGGTTTTCCACATGTGGAAGTTTGCTACACACTTTCTTCCATATTTTTGCTGTCTTTTCTCTTCCATATGTGCTCCACAATGACTCTACATTGGATTTTGAGGGTATGGCTGTCACACTTGCCATGGGGACTTGCCACCTATTTTATTTCTTCACAGATGAGCACATAACTGCTTTATTCACATTTGAAATGGAAATGGATATGTGCCAACAGGTTGCTATAGTGCTATAAAACTATAGTAATTACTATTTTCCAGTTTCTTTAAAGCTGACAAAAAGCCTTCCAGTGGCACAACATGAAAAAGAATGGGAAAATGGTAACAATGTTAGTACGCACTGCAGGGAAAAGTGTATAGGCCACATGCTAACATGCTTGGAATACTCTGATCTTTTCAGAAAAATTGCAGGGCAGGTTTGGAAAAGAGCATATTGAGAATGGGGAAAGCCATCATGTGAAAACTCCCCAAAAAAGGCATCCCAGTTTGGAAGCAGCAGAACAAAGTTTGAGCCCAGTGGCACCTTTAAGACCCACAAAGTTTTATTCAAGGTATGAGCTTTCGTGTGCACGCACACTTCCTCAGATACAATGTGTGCATACGAAAGCGCATACCTTGAATAAAACTTTGTTGGTCTTAAAGGTGCTCCACTGGACTCAGATTTCGTTCTGCTGCTTCAGACCAACATGGCTACCCACCAGAATTTATCAGTTTAGAAGCAGTATTCACCACAAGAGGGCAACACTGAACTATTAAAAAATCTACATATTCCAAGAAAAGCCTGAAACTGGAACAACACAGTACTAGCTATTAAAAACAGAAGAGCTTGGCATGTATATAATGGAATAGTATATAGCATTAATAAAAATAGTATTGTCTTTCAAACTAGGAAATGGAGAAAACCTGCTAGCAAACCTCTTACTTCAGATTAAAAAGCAAATATCCTTCAATAACTATCCTTCCATACTGAACATTAGTAAAATAAATCGACAATATCTATTGATGCAAATAGCAGTTATCTAAAAAGTTAAACAAAAAAATCTAACCTGCCAAAAGTCAAAATATACTGACTACTTTACTCAGATCTGATATTACACTGCAACTGAAAGCCATGGTGCATAGTGGTTTTCACGCAGGTATTTTAAGACTGTTTAAGTAACAAGCCCAAATAACATCATAGATGTGGGAACCTATTTTGAGCAAAAAACTCATTATGAAGATGTTGCACCTAGAAGGAACATCTCTATGTTAGCATCAGCTCTGTACTTGCAAGGCATTACCGGACCAAATTCCAACTATATGAGCCAAGCTGTGCTTAAAGAGACAGACAGTACACTTGTTTGAAGCTGGAGGTGGAGTTGAGCATGCTTATTAATGAACAAAAGGTTCTTCGGTTATCCAAATGCCACACTAAGAGTGCAACTTCCAAACTGGAATTAACTAGACAGTAGTGCCATCCTAAGTAGAGGATGGACTAAGTCCATTGAAGTCAACTGCACTGTGGATCTTGCATTCATTTGCATTCTTCATAAAACGTGATACTCTCTGGTATCTCCACTGTATTAAACTTCTCTCCCCAGGTGTATACAGTTTAGGAGAACACTTTATATATTTGACAAATTTCTATTAAAAACTAACTTTTGCTACAGTAAGTTTATGCCACAGGACTCTTTGTTTTTGCTACAATAGGCTAATATGGCTAGCCTAACTGGGCATCAGCATTCTGCAACTTGACAGGCCCCCACCACTCACATATTTACTATCCAGCAAACAGATTCAGGTAGGTAGGCTGTTTTGGTCTGAAGCAGCAGAACGAAGTTTGAGTCCAGTGGCACCTTTAAGACCAACAAAGTTTTATTCAAGGTATAAGTTTTTGTGTGTAAGCACACTTCTTCAGATACAGCGAAACAGAATTTCCTCAACCATTACATACAGGACGAGAGAGGTGGGGGAGGAGTTAGTTGCCAGGAAGGGCTAGCGAGAATCAAGACGCATAAGTACCTGGGTGGTTATAGCTTATATTGGATTAAGGCGGTTAAGATCTGTGAATGGCAGTAAATTAGTATACAAATAAGAGTTAACAAACAGATGTGAGAACGGTTTGAATCCAGTGACCCCTTCAAGACCAATAAAGTTCAATTCTGGGTATAAGCAAGAACTGAGAGACTTAGCATGTATAGATGCGCACTCCTTCAAACACATTGGAACAGATTTCCTCAAATATTACATATATATAGGGGGAGTTAGTTGCCAGGAAGAGCTATTTAGAGTCAAGATGCATAAGTAACTGAGCAAATAAATACAGCTAAGATTGGCATAACACATTTGATAAGACATGTAAACAATGCTTCCTCTAGGCTGTGAAATCTTGTGAGCAAAAATTCTACTCTGTGAGTTACTGGCATTAAAGTGGTGAGCAAGCAATTTGTCTACTGCATAAATTAGTTTGCTCTGGAGCCATCCTTCCTGAGCTAAGAAAAAAATGTGTGAGCTGGAGGCTAAAAAACTGTGAGCTAGCTCACACTAACTCACCTTAGAGGGAACACTGCATGTAAATAGCAGCAAATTGGCATACAGATAATAAAGGAGTTAACAACAGATATGAGAACTAAGTTTGAGTCCAGTGGCACCTTTAAAACCAACAAAGTTTAATTTCTGGGTATAAGGGAGAATTGAATGACTTAGCATATGTAGTGAGAGAAGCCGATATCTCTGTTAAGCCCTGGTCATACCCACTTTATCATTAAATCAGTAGGCAACAACGTCAAGTTATAACACCATAGTCTATAGCTGTATCAGACCCAAAGCCCACCTTAAATCCTAACTTACATAATGGATTCAGTTTAATATTTTTGTGCAGTCATCCACTGCACTTCCATTTTTTTTAAGCCAAAGAGGGGCATTTCAGCAGATGTACAGCATTCTCACATCTGAGACAAGGTCACCCTTTCACTTTGTGTCCTGCACACAAGAGACTCGGGTAGCTTCAGCAACAGGTCTCTTTATTGCTTCCAACCAGTAGAGAAAATTTGCAGATAAAGAACACTAACATACACACTGGGAGACAGCAGCCAACACCAAGAATGAGACCTAACAGAGGCCCCTTCCATACAAGGCTTGAGGGGAAAACATACCCTAACTCTTGAGGGCTCACTTAAAGCTATACACACATGCATACATCACAATGGGAGCGATCCAAGAAGTCCCCATGTGGCTTACTTCCAGAAAAGGTTCTTAGGATTGCAGCTAAACACACTGACACTTCCTCTCTGACACTCCTTTGCATCCAGCAATTCTCTTTCCTTCTGTTTCCTTTTGCATTGAACTGCCAATAAGATGAAAATAGGGATGGTGCCACTAGCACAATGAATCAAACAGGTGGCACTGGCAAGTGTTTTAAAGGAATATATAGCAGAATCCCATATTTGCATTAAAAAATAAACCTGAAGTTAGTCCATGGTCTTTGCGTTTTATTCCTATACCCCATACTAATGAGAAATCACAGAGTCAAATATCAAACCCTTCATTCTTCCTCCTTTCACTACTCTGTATGGCTTGTTTTTGGCATACTGAAGCTGTAATCCTTTAATGCACAATAATACATCCAGGACCTGCTCAGCCAGTTATTCTAAGAGCAACTTAACAGACTAGATACAATTGTGAGATATGAAACCAGGCAATGATAATTCCCTTGTGGTTTACAAGCATACCTTACAAGAAAAGCACACATAGGGCACAAAATAATTGTTCAAAGATTATTACTGCCATACCTATCTCAGTGTGAAGGATTAACAGTGTGATTTTATGCAGAGTTACTCCAGTCTAAATCCATTGAAATCAATGGACTTAGACTGGAGTAACTCTGCATAGGGTTGCACATAGGGTGTCAGAATCCAAATGATCCAAATCTAAGTTGTTTTTGTCATTTCTTAACAAAATCAAACATAGTAGGTACACTTTAACTGGAACTGCCTGTCATACAGAATTCAAAATTCCTTATCCTTGTTCTTTCCATTACACATTCTATTGCATCCAGGGGTCGTTTCGTAGAAAAAGAGCTAGGGGAACTCATTAGCATAACTCATTAGCATATGCCACACCCCCTGACATCACCGGAAGTGTGTCATAAGGCCACACCCCCTGACATCACCAGAAGTGTGTCATAAGGCCACACCCCCCGCCCCCAACGGTCCCCAGGGAGGAAGCAACTTACCCTCCCTCTTCTCCTGCCTCCTCCTGGCTGAATGAGGGCCGGAAGCGGGGCGGCCGGAAGCAGGGGGTGGGGTTTCGTCATGTGCCCTGCCCCCCCGTACCTCACCTGGGGGAACTGCGATCCCCCGTGATCCCCCCGAAATGACCTCTGATTGCAGAGACTTGTCTCTGGGGAACGGTTTGTTTATTGTTAAATTCCATGTACAGAACCTAGTAACTTTAAGCACTTTATAAGTATAAGGTGAAGGAAGAGTTCAAGAAAACAGTACAAGAAATAGCATGACTTACTGAAATCTATATATCTAATAGCCAAGTTGCCCCCTCCATGCAGATATCTAAATCCACACATTGAGGGCACTTGGGGGGCAGAGAGATTTTCCTGCACACTTGGAGCAGTCCCCAGGTGTGCAGAAAAATCTGAAAAATCTAAAAAACTATACGGGGGATACTTAAATCCCCCCAAAAGTAAAAAATTGTTCCCTTCGCATGTTCAGAGAACGTACTTACCTCCGGGATCTGTGGCAGAGCCGTGCAGGGCTCGCCGCCATTGGTGCTGGTGGCGGCAGCAGGGGGGAGCCTTGGCGGGCCGGTGGCTAGAAGCCGTGGCCGTTGCTGCTGCTGTTGGCGGCAGCGGGGAAAGCCTGCGGGGTCTGG